TGGTTGATTCATAACTTTATTTGTGAGTGTACCTGCTGAATTTTTCTTTAGTCTAATATCGATTCTGACGAGGCTTAATTGGTCTTAAGAAATTGAGATATTGAAGCTTAATGCGCAGAATGCCTATTGTTCTCGAAACATTTACTTCCAGTTCAACAAAGTTTGTAGATCTGTCATATCACGCGTTATTATGCGTGGACGCGATGAAAATGCCTCAACGATTGGTTGCCCTGAACGCACTTAGTAAAAAAGTTAAACCACAGAACGAATGATAAAATGTCGAATTATCTCTATGCAAGCGAGATCTTGAATGTGTCGTAAATAAATACACTGCGCGCCTTGAGTGTTAAGCGCGCAGAAGCTGTTCGACGCTCAGTGTAAAGGTCTGTAATCAGTGTGTAATGTTGTGCTTCCGTATTTGAAAGGATTTTAGCTCTTATTCAAACCAAAACGGCTGGTACATAAGTCTACATTCCTTAACAGAGCTCAAAATGACTAATTTTTTTGCCTTAAAAAACAGAGATCAGCGATCCGAGTAGCAATCGGAAGAAAGTTCGACACACAGGCGATTCAGTGTTCTCATCTACTCTAATCTTTACAAACAAATTTTAGTTTGTAGAGTGGCTAGTTGGAGTCACTGCGCGTACAGCGATAAACAGAAACCTTTCTTTCTCTAATAGGCGACATCCATTGGTGTTTTACGAACTTTAAACGCAAGCCAGCAGTATGGATCAGTATTCAAACTTCGCGCGTCGGAAAAAAAAAAAAAAAACTTGGCGCGTCGAAAGCCCTTATTTTATCAGCCGATTTGCATAAACACTCTGTTTACAGATGACTGCATTTACCGGTAGGTTATCACGATGAAGTTTTGCCGCTCGTTGTTTATTCATGGCAACCATTGTTATACTGTAAGACAAAGACTTCACTCTGAACACGCGCGAATTTTGAGCGTCGGGTTTTTAAGGGCAAAAGTCTACAATTTCTTCTGCTTAAATTTAGACGAAAAGGCTATCAATGTGTAGGGGAGATGTGCATCTTCCATAATCCGTTCTTTTATACGGAGTTTGTCGCTTATTTGGACAAAAAAAATCCAAACTGAATTTTAATGCGGTCTTAACACACACTAAAAACACCGAAAATACAGAGTTTTGAAAGCAAAACGTCTACAAGTTAATCTTGTTAAATTTTCCTGGCCCCAGTTGTTCGAACGCCGATTAGCGCTTAACCTGGGCTTAATTTAACCTTTGTTTCTTTTTCTTGTGTTCAAAAGCATTTTCAAGGATAATTTTCTCGGTTATTTTTAGAGCTTCCAATCATCAACTTGTAGACAAAAAGAATTAAAACTGAAATGCTTTTTAAGCTTTCAAATCTGAATTCAAATGTCGCACTAACCCTAGGTTATCTCAACCCAGCTTTGAACAACTCGGCCCTGGTGTTTACGTAATGTTGAAGATTCGCCCTTTAACTACAAAGAGCTATAGAATATAAGTATTTTAAAATGGCGATCGTAGTGAGTGATCTTCGCCAAATTTGTTCATTTTCTCTCTTATTGTGGCGCTTTTGTCGGGCGTTCATGCTTGAATAGCCGGCTGCTGTAACACATTATTATGCGTAAATCTCCAGCTATTCTGCCCGATGCGGATTGATCATCGGACTGAACATCGGATTCGTAATCGCAGTCGTAAGCGTAGTCTGTGATGACCTCGACGAAACCTTCTTACGATCGAGTGAAAATCAGTTTTTCGGAAACGAAATTAAAGGCGGAGAAATAAGCAGTCTCCATACTTATTTTCACACGTTGTGTTTAATTAGTTTGTTGTTCCAGTTCAGCTGGCGACCTCGACCTCTTGTTCCGTCGCTGGTGAAACAAGCCTTTAGAAATTTTTATCACACCACCCAACGTTGTTTGAAAATCCTTTCTCTACCTTCATACTTATGAAATGACCTTTAGAGCATGCGCTGCGTGTTGCCAGGATACAGTTTGGAACCCAGGCCTTATAGCCGGGTGCTTGGTACAGCGGGAGCAGTTTATCACCATCGACTTATCAATAAAAGGATGGTGGCTCTCGAAAATCCAGTTTAACGAAAAAAAATAAGAAATTCGGGCGGCGGCGACTTCAAAGGCTTGACGCGATTCAGGCATGCACAAAGCTTCTTTTTCTCCCCATCGATCAAAACAGAGACAAAAGGAGACTCTGTTTGCAAGGTGATTTTCCTAGGCATTAATATAAGCAGAGCTGAAAAACAGTATTTGTTAACTTCTGGTTCAATTACTGAGACGCATACAAAAAGCAACAATATTTTTCAGTTTGATATTTTAAAGACTTATTCATTCCCCAGTTAAGATTATTATTTAATGATAATAACAATCACAACAATTGTGAAATTATTATTATTATTATTATTACAAAAATAAGAATATTATTGTAGCTTTATGACCCTTCTTTTAACAAACAATTTTTGCTTACAAATAGCTTTGTTGTGTTTGAAACTAGTTATCAATCGAAATGATTGTAAATGGTTTTTATAATATTTTTGTTGTCAAATTAAATATTTACACTTATTAAAAACTATTATTATTATTATTATTATTATTATTATTATTGTTATTATCTGACTCAGAATTTAAGCAAGGGGAGGGATATTGAAACCCGACAGTGCTGTCCATCTATCCGCAAGATCAGCCTCTGTCGGCAGCATGCAGCAGCCAGGAAAATTCGAAAATGAGATTTTCCATTGTTCAATTATTAATCTGCCTTTTTTCAATAAAGCTCTTCCAAAACTGTAGGGTAGGAACAAGATCATATTTGTTATTATTACTATTATTATGATTATTATTGTCATTATTATTATTGTTATTAATATTATCATTTGCATTATTATATTATCATTATCATTATGATGATTATCGCTATGGCTATCGTTATCGTTATCATTATAGTTATTTCGTTTATTTTATAACAGATTCATTGGATCGAAAGAAGAAAAAGAAAGAAGAAAACAAAAAAGGTGAAAAATGTATTCCAAATCCTCAAACAACGTAATGTTGAAGGTACTAATATAGGGTTAGCGGCGGAAAAGCTAAGTCTGCATGTCGATATAGTCATTTTCACGTAACAGCAGAGATTACACATCACAGACCTACCTCCTTCCCTTTCCTAGCAAAAGAATTTTTTTGTATAAGTTCCCTTAAGTAACGGTATTTCGTATTTATTCTAAAATTTTTATTTCTTTACGAACTTAGAAACAGAAAAAAGACTAGACGAAGTTTTAAAAGGAGGCGACTATCAATCTATTGAAGAACACGTCACTCCAAAAACACTTACAAGCTGTGAGACAAACACTCTTATCAAAGCGTTTGAGGTAAGTCGTAAAGTATGAACCGTTTCTAACCCCGTTTAAATTATCCTCGCTGTTTGCCATTATCATGAGCTTAAAATTAGCAAGCTACCTCCCCACTCACTTAGGCCATATTCACACTATACTGTGTACCTCTTACGACGACACGAACACCATACTAGGTACTCGAGGCTTCTGCTTACGGTGATTACGGCTCGATTTCTGTGACGGAGCGAAGGCCGCACCGATCTAGAAAGTGGAGCGTTACGTATCGGATAGGTTCTGTGCCACACTTGTGTGGTGTAGTGTGATCAGGTATTCGGAACGTAGCAGAATTTAATAAAGGAAAGAGGACTTCAACCCATTAGTATAGTATTCTGGAGTGAAGGCTGGGATTTAGTTTACGAAACCCTCTCTGCCAACCACGATGCTCGATGTGTGTGAACGACTTGTTCCAGTTCTGTGTTTTTGCTGTTCATACTATAGAGTAAAACCTCGCGTATGAGAACCTGGGCTTTAAGAACCTGTTACAAGAGGAACCTGTGCTAGGCTAAAATTTTCATTTTAAGCCCCCTCCACATAAGAACCTATAAAGGCTAAAATTTTAAGTTAGGTTCTTATCAGTGGAGTTGCTGTAAAAGTGTATCAACTTTGAAAAGGCATTTTTAAGTGAAATATCAGATGATATTTATAATATACTTAAATGAAATTCATATGAAAATATAAGAATGTATCTTAAGAACCTTGGGGGATGAAGATATTAAGGGGGGCTCCGAAAATTTTTAGACACCCGAAGGGGGGGCTCTGAAAAAATTGTTGCGCTAGGAGGGGGGGCTCCGAAAATTTGTATACTTCAAAACCAACACATGACATCATCATACAGATCGGATGGTTTTCAACTCAACAATTTAATGACCTGTGCAACTCAGCTATATCAGCTATATCGACGTTATTTTTAACATAACAGAGGGAGGTTTAGAACTATTTTTTTTGTGTTTTGGAAGGCGGGTACTGTCTAAGTTTTTGGTAGATAACTCTAGTTTTTCAGCCCCCCCCCTGATAATTAATTATTGCACAGTCCCTAAATCCAAAAATGGAGTAAAAATTTTGGGTACAGGATACCCACTTTTTGGGGTTATTTTAACTCCTAATTTAACTCCGAATCTGAGTTCATTTTTACTTCTGAAAAAGAGTTCTTTTTACTCCCAGTCTGGGGTTAAAATAACTCCGAAATGGGGTTACTTTTACTCCTTACATGGGTTGTTTTTACTCTTTTTGAAGTTAATTTAACCCTGAAAGTGGAGTAAAAATTTTAGGTACAGGATAACTCCTTTTTGGGGATTATTTTAACTCCTCAATATCTGGGGTCACTTTTACTGCTGAAAAAGAGTTCTTTAAACTCCTTTTTGGAGTTAAAATAACTCCCTGAAAAATAACTCCACTGTAAGGAGTTAAATAAGCCCCCCTAGAGAAGTTCTTATAACTCCTTGAAAATTACTGTGTACCTGATAGCTTTTCGTGTCGGCACCAAACGCTATCCGCTACAGTGTGAACATAGCAAGCCTTAAACTCATTCTAAACTTCTTGATGTATGTTTTCTCAAGGTGAATAAAACACTCAGGGATTTAGTAAAAAGTGCGGTTAACCCCGAAACAGACGAAATGGAGACGCTGTCTAAGTTATTAGATGAATTCACTTGCGCTTTGGTCGACCCGCTAAGAACCGACAGTGACACAAGAAATACGTTTAAAAGCTGTTTCGATTATGTGGTGAATAAAGCTATTGATACGGAGCAGAAGAAGGTATGATAAATATCGACAAAAATAGTGGCTCAGAGTAAAGAGTTTTGCGAAACAAAATTTTGACGTTACCGGTAACCAGTATAACTTCATGCCACTTCCTCGGCCATATGAGCTTATCGGGCACGTTGTTGTCCTTTCTAAAGTACTATGTCAGTGTAGTACTTCCTGGTTTAGTGTTGGATCAAGGTATGACCTGCATCATTGAATAACGTACACAACGCAAGTGTCGGATCCTGGTGTTCATAACCCAGCACACTTTACTCACTGACAAAAACAGTGAGTGAAGAAAAGCTGACTGTTTAGAACGTGTGACGTCATGTGGAAATTATCGATATCGATAAGGGAATTGACTATAATTGACTCAAAGTAGCTTAAGATATTTAGCGTTCATTATTTGCTCCACCCGTTTGCTTAATAATGGTGACTGAACTGAGTTGAGTACAATTTGGTCTGAAATCATACGCGCGATTTTAAAATCGGACAAGCGCGCAGTGCGAGTTCGATTTGAAACCACAAGTATGATTTTAGACCAAAAGTGCACGACAAGAAATTCAAGTACCACTTTATTACAGCCATTTTGAAATCGCAGAATTCAGCGGTCAGTACCAATATTTATTTGACCAAGTAGCCGGTTTGTTGAAAAGCGGAAACAAAAAGACTTTTACATCTCATTTTGTACCCGGAACAGGAATGATGCAATATAGAGAGGAAATCTTTCGTTTTAAAACAGAAATAACGTGATTTTGAACATGAATGACTCGATCTAGAACAGAGGTGATTTAGACCAAAGTAGTGCGAATCACACGGCCGAGAGCCAATCAGATTACAGGGATCACCAGCGATTTCGAAATGGATATAATAAATAGACAAATACTACATAATTTAGGCTGCTTCTCCCTGTCAGTCATTTTTAACAATATTGACTGGTTAGCTCAGTTGTTTGAGTACCCGAGACATTAGAAGACACAGCGTGACCATACCAACTCAGGATCATATAGCCTGGGACCAGGCTCCGAATTGGGGCAAAAAGGAAAAAAATCGGCGAGCGAAGCGAGCTTAGAGGTAGTCTGGGGAGGGGAAAGGGTAGCGGAGCCTCCGCCGCCATTTCCCCCTTCCCAGACCACCGCTGGGCTCGCTTCGCTCGCCGATATTTTTCCTATATTTATTTTTTGCCTTTTTCCCCACTGCGGAGCCTGTTTCCAGGCTAGGGTCATAAAAATATCTAAGCAGAAGGTTTTGCCTTTCACATCTGCCTATGGTTAACTCTTTTTGGTCTTCTCGGATATAAACGAAAACCGTCTAAAAACAAAAAAACGCTCTTAAATTGAGCGTCAATATCGTAAGAACGAAAGTGCTAATTGAGGACACTTTTTTTATGTCTCCTACTGGAAACATCGGGTCTGGGGATGGAAGCCAAAGGATAAGTTTCTGAGATAACATCCAAACGAAGAGCTATTTTGATAGGACTGTCCCTTAAACTTGTTGCTTGTTTACGTTCTCTTTGCCAGTTTGTCTCTCATCCCGTGGTTTTTAACTTGATGACTTCAAAGTATTACCGCTCATTTACTTCAGAGCGGAAGAAGCCTTGGACAAGCCTCAAACGCTGGGGATATTTGTTTCTTAACGTCTGGACCGTGCTTGACATGTTCTTCTTTCCTCTTTTCTTTGCCCTGTTCTCTGTCGTCCATTTTGTTAACAAGAAGTTAAGAAAGACCACAGGTTAGTAACCAAATCATAGTTCGAGACCTAAGGGGTAGCTATTCGAGAAGAAATATTCTGCTTGTGATTCGCCAGGACACATTCACCAGCCAATCAGAAGCAAATTCGAATGTTTGGGGAACCATAAGGCGCGGATCCACACCACTTTCCACCGTTTTACGGAAATCGGTCAGATTTCTCATAATGAATATCTGACTTTTTTGATTGTTAGTTTTTATTTATATATTTTTTACGGGATATTGCTGAATACACTGCAGTAGATAGACTGTCATGAGTTTGTCACTGGCTATTAACCTACCCCTCCCCCCCCCAAAAAAAATGCTTTACATAATTTCCCACAATTCTCTCTGTATGTCAGTTTGAAATCATAGCTCGTATAGAGACTGAACTCGACTCTCGTAGTGGGTTGTCTTAGAGTTTTTTTTGCCTGGCTTGAGCAAGTTTTCCGGCAGGCATCATTGAGCCTGTGAAGAAACAAGATTAGCAAAGTCTGCTGCGTCCAACATCTTCTCGTATTTCGTCTCATTTGGCTACACGGGTGAAAGACTGATTCCGGGCTTGAGACGGAAAGATTAGATATTGCGAGCTTTGCTGTTGGCCGTAAAACCGTCCTTGGCCTCACAAAGTTGGTTCTAGAGGTGAAATCTATTCAGCTAGATGGAAATTGATGCTGATGTCTGACCGGGCCAAAGACTTAGTTAAAAATTTTTTGAAGGCAAGGGCTCTTCTCTTCAACCGCTAGTTTACATCCGGGATCTTGAATAAATCGTGTGAGTCGGGAAAAGTTTCTACGCGACGATTTATGTGGAGGAAGGGGGAGTTTATCGGAGTAATTTGACAATGTTTCGCCCGTGTTAAATGTGGAAATATTATGAGTGGTTTTCGGAAGTGTTGTGATTGCCACGAAAGTCATTTATTGTGTGATTTATCGAAGACGTTGACAGACAAAACTCAGGAATGCTGTTGAGCTCGTGTTACCAGAATTCTTTGTGCCAAGCATAAAAAAGCTTCGTGAGTGTTTAGTGTAGGTGATTTTGTCTTAGAAAGCCTATTCCGCGCTCAAAGGTCGGCAGACACTTAGCTATGGGCCTCATGCTTTGACTGACTAAAAGGTTATAATTTCTGGACGTTTCAAATGTTACCTATTTCGCAAAATCCTGTTACTTCTGCGAGAGAAATTTACCGTCTGCTGCCAGCAATAAAGTTGTCATTGTTAAGCCTTAGTTAGTGACTCTCAAATGCTTTAAATTCGACTTAGATGTCAAATTGTTAAAATGCACTTGAAATTTATTTAGCCACGTTTCAGCGAATCTAGACAGATAATTTTCAATTAAAAAAAATTTTCCATGTTGAAATATGGAAAATGGTTTCAACAATAGTAAATATCCTGTCCGAATTACTCAGAAACCCAGGAAAAGGGACTTTTGGCAGTTAAAGTCCAAAAATTTTCCCGGGGAAGCATGCCTCAGCACACCACTAGAAGCTTGCGCTTTCGGTGCTTGTTTAGGAAATCGGTCAGTATTTATCCTAGATCAGCGCCTGAATATTTCGCTAAGAGTAGGTCAGCTCAAGAGCTCTCCCCTGTTTTGAAGGAGTCATTACTATAAATTTTCTCGGGTTACTTTAAAACCGTAAAAACACATTGGAATCAAGGAAAATTCTGAAATAATTAGAAAATCAGTTTTATTTTAAATTGCTCTGCTACTATACTTCAAATATAAGTTTAACATGTCTTTGGCTTTCGATGGTCAAGATGGAAATGATTACACAACTTGAAAAAAAATTGGGCCAATTTTTTCCCCTTTTTAACTCCTGTGTTGTCGAAAAATTACCAAAAACTAATAATGCTTTATGTACCCTTGATAAAAATCACTTGATAGCTTTATTTTAGAGATCCAAGTTTGAGAAAGAATATCTGAGAATACTTGTCTATAATTTCAGCTCAGCTTTGACCAAACAATGTTGAACTCATGACGATACAGCTCCTTTATAAAATAAAACCTTACAAAGATTTCGTTGGGAGATGATCCCGCCCCAGTCAGCTCCCCCTGGACTCAGTTGTCGAAAGATGGTTAATTTTAACCTAGGATTAAACCAAATTTTGAGTAAGGTCTTCTTCTCTAAGAACACGCAACTCAAGCTTACAAAACACTGCTGAGCCTTAACTCCTTGAAACAGTTATGTAATGATATCACAAAATGTCACTCTAAATAATACATAGGAAGGGAAACTCCAAAAATGGAAAAAACCGGGAACAGGAACCGGGCAGTGGTCCTTAAAAGCCTAAATTTTGTCACCCACGTTAATACTTAAATTCATTTTCATTTTGATTTCAATATTGTAACGAAAGAATTTTTGTTTATCGGGTTTCGGTTGACGCGCTCCATTTGTTTTAGAGACAAAGGTTGTACTGTTGTTTCCTTGTAGAAACTGAGATTTGCTTCATTGTGGCGATGACCAAAGATCTCAAAGAAGCCGTGCGTACTGAAGAAGTCTTTAACTTGATTAAGAAGACAATCCGCTACACGATCCACGAACATGGCTTCCACTTTACTAAATACAGTTTTATTCTTCGTGAAGAGGACAACGCCCTCCGTGTTATCAACGGTGAAAATGCAATACTTGACAGGGTGGAATCATTAAAGAAATCAGACTTTCCCCCTCGGCTCTATGAAGACCTCCGTGAGGCTTGTGATGCCTTCAAAAGCGCAGGTGATCCTCTCGCAACAAAAAAGGTGAGGTGAAAACATAAGGTCAGAAGATTCACTTAATTTTGAACCGGGGGGTTACTCCCTTATATAAGTTATATAGGTATTTGCCGCCCCCTCGGGTAGGGTTTCCGCTCCTTTTTGGTCTGAAAACAAGAATAGATTGTGCCCGTTTTGGTCTGGAATCGAGTATAAAGTTAAATGTGCGAATTCTAATTAAATGGATTTGAAGAATTTTTTGTTTGCGCTCTAATTCAAGTAATTCAAGTAATTTCCGCCTAACGTTCAGGTCTGAAAACAGGTGTGGAAAATGATATTTTTTGGTCTGAAATAGGGTCAGGGTTCGAAGAACCGGGCGGCACACCCCAACAAGAATTCCCAGGAGTACCCCCCGGAATTTTGAAACATTTCAAATCGTTTCGAAAACACACTGAGACAGCTCACCACGAATCGAGACAAATGTTCAAAACTTGTAGTGACTTAGATTAACTTAGAATACCATAAAAACAGCCCTAGTGTCGAAATAAATAAAGCGCGCACGAGAAAGGAAAAACTATTATAGAGCTATTCATGTACTGCCGAACTGTTTCGCTTGAATAGTCCCACTGAGGATATTGTCCACAGACTCACTTTTTAAAAAAAGGGAAAGAAAGAATAGTGAATGTCTCAGTAAAAAAAAATCATAAATTAAGATAATAGGTCACATGGTCTCACATGGAAGAAACAAAAACCCGGCACACGCACATTTTAATGATGTGCTCGGGATACTGTACATAATACACTAACAGAAGATAGGCAAGTTAGTCAGCAGCTTCCGTTGTTTCCTGACCTTGTGCCCTTTTCAAAAGAAAGACATTTCTTCTTAGAGGGTTGATTGATAAAGGGGAATCAGATATACACGGAATGTCTTTCAACCTGAGATCAGGCGGAATTTTAGCCACTCTCATACGCCCTCTGTTACCTCGCCGTTGGAATCTCCTTTACTTAAACCTGATCTCTGGCTATATTTTTCGGCCGAGAAATTTTTTTGGCCCGAGATTCTTTGACACCTACGTACTGGAAGGCTCCGTTTGCTGAGTTAGACAACAGTAGTGTGCGTTACGTTTTCCTAATTGTAATTGACACGAGGAGCCGCAAGAGGTGATATTTTTGCACGGCATCTGGCGGCACATCAAAGAATTTGGAATTGAAGGGCAAATTCCTAGAATATCTTCGCCAGTTAAGCTAGAGAAAAGGTGTTAAAAAACCTCAGGATCCAAAACAACACGTCAATCAAAATATCACTTGGACCTTTTCGCTAATGAAGAGCTATCACGCGGCTAAGCTTGAATTAGACATATATTGAAATAGGAACTCGTGTCAATAAAGTATCTTAAGTGAGTGGGAATCGCTCCTAGTTAAAAAACTGGTTCACGGGGATATGCATGTCTTCTAGTTAAGAGAAGGGGATCAGAACTGCTTTTCATGCAGGAACAGGTTTTCTTCGGGCTAACTACAAAACTTCAGCTTATTTCACTCCTTGACATTGTCAAAGCGCATTTTGTAAAGATAACTTTTTCCGCTTTATCAGCTTTTTTTATATTATATTCCATTAATGTTTAACCTCCCTCAAAAAGCCAAATAATATAAATGCTGTTGTTAAAAAAAGTTAAGCGTTTTACCTGTTTTCGTGAATTCGCTACCCAAAGATCACTATGCTCAAAGGACAGGGCAAAATTTCCAGGAGAGAGGCATTAATTTTTTTCCCACGAGATTACGAAGAGAAAATGCAATGATTATTATTGTAACCATCAGGTATACTCTACCCACGAGGTTACGGACAGCAAATGCAGCGATTATTTTTAATGTAACCATCAGGTATGTTCTACCCACGAGGTTACAAAGAGAAAATTCAATGATTATTATTAACGTAACCTTCAGGTATGTTCTACCCACGAGGTTACAGAGAGCAAATGCAGTGATTAATATTATTATTAAATGTAACCGTCAGGTATATTCTACCCACGAGGTTACAAAGGGGAAAATGCAATGATTATTATTAACGTAACCTTCAGGTATGTTCTACCCACGAGGTTACAGAGAGCAAATGCAGTGATTATTATTAAATGTAACCGTCAGGTATATTCTACCCACGAGGTTACGGAGAGCAAATGCAGTGATATTATTAATGTAACCATCAGGTATCTTCTACCCACGAGGTTACAAAGAGAAAGTGCAATGATTATTATTAACGTAACCTTCAGGTATGTTCTACCCACGAGGTTACAGAGAGCAAAAGCAGTGATTATTATTTTAAATGTAACCATCAGGTATGTTCTACCCACGAGGTTACAAAGAGAAAATGCAATGATTATCATTAACGTAACCTTCGGGTATGTTCTACCCACGAGGTTACAGAGAGCAAATGCAGTGATTATTATTAATGTAACCATCGGGTATGTTCTACCCACGAGGTTACAGAGAGCATGCAAATGCAGTAACAATTATTAGATTTTAGTGCAACTATCAGGTTGAGTTCCTCCATTAAAAGAGTTTTTTGCTAGGGTTAAACAAGTTTGGCTTTCATGAGTTTCAAGGTGCAAGAAATTATCAGTACAATTATAGCACACAAACATTGTCATCTAATTTTTCGCACGTAGCCGGAATAAGCCAAGAAATGAAGCATATATAACGAAGCATCGTCCTCAGATGATCTCCATATTAAGTAAATGATACTAAACGTTGCGAAAGAAATTATTGTTTGTATCCGTCCTATCCATCGTAAAAGCGAGGGGTCATCGCATGACATCCGGTATATTAAACAGAGGTAATACTCACGGGTTTCACGAGTTGTATGCAATATTTTTCGCCGAGAAACAAATTTAAACTTCAATTCTTACCTTACAGTAGTCCGTTCTTTTACCTTGCATTCGACAACAAATCTGTTAAAGGCGAACAAAGCGATTCCGGCACTCTTCTTTATGATGAGTAGCAAGCCGCAGGAACTGAAGCCGCTTGACTGAAGTAAAATCCACCGATATGCGCGGCATTCTCACTACAAATATAAACAAACGTCGCGGAGAAAAAAAGACGAGGAGGAAAAAATGCCAGATCTTCGCCTCGGCAATGTATTCCAGCTACCATGCCGGCGTATCTCTAGAAGGTGGACTCGACGTGGGACAAACCTTATGATCTTTTTTTAGAAGCCCTTTGCGCGCAAACTAATTTATTCTGGCGCGAAATGAAGAATATGTATACTGAAATCTAATCCACAACAAGAAGATTTTCGCACTGTAGCGCGACATATTAAATGCCTATTTTTACAAGTACGCGGAGAAAGTGGTCCACTAGTTTAACTTTTTTAAGATGAATTTACTCCACAAAAGCAAAATGAAATGTTTTATCTCTATGTTGTTTACGTGCCTGATTAGAAGGCAGAAGTAAATTCATCATCAGACCCCATCAAAATGAAAGTACACGAATAAACCGGAATAAGTCTGGGACGGTTTAGTTTCTACTCAGCAGCTTCTTTGCTTTTATAACAAAAATTTAATGTTGCAGTCTGTTTTAAACGTTGGCATATCAACGCGCACAGTCACTGAATGAAAACAACAGTCACGATCACGTTCTTCGAAACCGACCAGACGCGCGCGACCTACCACTGTTATGGTAAGCAATTATCCTGAAGGTGTTAATGTTCCCGTGACAGTCTTCGCACTAAAGGTGTAAATGGTAAACCGAACGGTCGCTTTGATCACCAGAAAGACCTGTCAACTTTGATGATTTAACTGATTAAATTACGGGACAGAAATTTTACTGCATGCGGCTCCTCGTGATTTGTCTTCCCGTTTTAGATACTTGTGGTCTTCACAAATGACACACTAAGTAAAGTTTGTCCTGGGTATCGAAATCTCAGTGTTGTTGTCTGTGAGTTAAATGAGAAGTGGGGGGTCAAAATTGTCCCCATTGGCATTGGAGAGAAGGTCAACCCATCAGAACTTAGAAATATTTCCGGAAAAAATACAACCACCGCTCACTTTGGGGAATACGAGGCACCGAAAACATTAGGAAAAACTATTATACACGGTAAAAATATTTTTCTCAATTCCTCTTTCCCAATTTATAAGTAAATAATGGAAGTCCGTTTCTACAAAAAGGATTGTCCTTTGTATTAGGAATCACATTACTGCAACTAAATTGCTTTGGAGAGTAGAATTTATTAAGCATTTTGAAGGCCTGTCAACCAAGTTGCAGGGATGTGCTACTTCTAAATCGTAATTTATTTATTATTTATTTATTTTCTGGTTTATTTTATCCAACAACCGTGCAATACTCATAAACAGTTCTTCCTCGAGATGATTTTGTATCGACGAAAAATCTCTCATCAGCACGTTAAAAAAACGTCTTACAGCAAACAGCACACGCAGTAAAATAGCTTGAAAAAATTATGGGTCACCTGGCTACCGTATCCCAGTTTGCCCGTCGCCTTTTGTATGTTATTGAGCTTCTCTATCAATTAACCTGTTAGTTCCTAAGATCAAGATTTGAATTCTCATTTGCTGCCGCTATTCATTTCCTACAGATGCAGTGGGAAGAAGTTGATAAAATATCACGAAAATTCGTCTTGTGTGATCATGTCTTTATTTCTTATGACCAATCTGTTTTACAAAGCATTGATATTACAAGGAGAAATTTGATGCTGATCACTCTTAGGGCTAAAAGGTTTAAACTTCCTCTAAGGAGACATAACATGAGATATAATGAATCTGAACTGTGGTTTTCCCCATGACAGGAGCTGATGGAAAGGACATCTATGGTAGGAATTACTACTGTTTTTATAAGCTTCAAATAGAATGTCAGATCAGATGGCCTGTTTTTCTTAGTGCATGCCAGAAGCCCTTTAGCAACCTTTTATCAAGAGAGTTACATCCTTTATTATTATGGGTTTAATTTCTGTCGCCAGTCAAAGGTCTAGCTGCTTGTTGTTCTGTCAGTACACAGGCGGCCCAAGCTCACTACAGGAACGCGGACGTGACTCTTGGTTGCGAGCGGTGTTGTGTTACAAACGGTTATTTACAAGGGCTTGTATGGGATGTAAACGGTTTTTCTTAAAAGAGAGAAAAAAATGTTATTTTTTTTAATAAAATCGACTTACCTTATTGTCTTGTTGTATTCTTTGTTGTTTGCCCGCGTCTCAGGCCGTTTTGAAGGGTTTTCGGCAAGTTAACGCTATTTTGGTGTTCCACTGCTAAGAGAAAGACAATGCAGAGCCGTGATTTCCGGAGTGTCCGTCGCTCGAGGCGAATAATTCCGCTGGAAAATTATCCCCGGCCTCAATTCTCCCAGGAATTCAAAGCAGAGATGTTGCAGCTCTATGTCCATTCAGTCGATTCGCAGTTTCTCCCACAGATCGTTCACTAGTGATGCTTTTATTTTTTGCTCGACCGGCTTCCAAATTTCGAACTAGGCTCTTCCAAACTGCCTTGGACCCGTTCACCGATCGCATAGTATGTCGGGTAACTAAAATAAGCCCTGCGAGGGTAGCCAGCAGGGCTTACGGTTTGTTTGTTTGTTTGTCGACTGCCGGCCGCTGGAATACAACAAGGCAATAAGGTATAAGTCGATTTTATTTAAAAACATAACATTTTTCCTCTCTTTTAAGAAAAACCGTTTACATACCATACAACCCTTTGTAAATAACTGTTTGTAACACAACACCGCTAGCAAGCAAGAGTCACGTCCGCGTTCCTGTAGTGAGCTTGGGCCACCTGTGGTCAGTATAGCTGCAAGCAAGATATGTAATGACATGGCATATATTTCTAGTAAAATGGCAAAACAAATGTAAATAGTTTTGAATACAGTAACGAAAACTGCGACTAAGGACCTGGTTTTTAAGAACTTGCTAGGCTAAAATTTGCCAGTTAAGCCCCCTTTTATAGAAGAACCTGTTTAGCCTAAATTTGAAACAGGTTCGTATTTTCTACAATCTATAGAAAAAATTCTGTACACTTGGGCAAAAGGGCTTCAAAATTCAAGTGGTCGGTGCTTCAGTCCTTCTTCTCATAACAATATAAATTTATTAGGCAGATTTTATATAACGAATAAGCTGAATACCACTAAATACTCATAGCCACCATGCTTTTGTTTTCTTCCAGTCTGACTGGGTCCAAAGTCGCGGGGCGCGGGTCCAATGTCGCGGTCGAGGGTCCAAAGTCGCGGTCGCAGGTCCAATGTCGCGGTCGCGTGTCCATTAGTCAAACTCGTTTTCTTCACAAAATAAGAACCTATTTAAGAACCTAAATTGCCTAAATTTGTGCTAATTACCATTTATGTAAGAACCTGGTTAGGCTAGCTAATGGGCTAACTTAGTTACGGGCTTGTACTCTATAAGTTAAAGAGAATGGATGGCTATAAAGGGTCATAAAGGTGAAAGAGAGGAGAGAAGATATCGATCGACTGTGGGAAGTTGTTTCCTTGGTAATGATTATCTCGGTAACGACCAAACTAAATCAACTGACCAAAATCATGCATGAAAAATTTGCATTTTATCAGAGGGTATAAAACATTGGGCCCTATTTTTTGACGTAATTGAAGCAAAACGTGACGTCATGCTGGTGGTGACGTCCTTTGGTGATGGTGACGTCATGTTGATGTCGTGCTAGTGAGCTTTCCTTTCTACCTCCCTTTCAGTCGAAGTTTTGTGTCCATGACAGTCTGATCTTTTCCCTTTTACAGATCTATATCTGGATTATTTCACAACTCCATACTTCATATTCCTCCGTGATTCTTTGAGCTACCTGACGCTTCTTGGCCTGAACTCTTACCTTTGTTTGACGCCTCCAACCATTGCCTTCAGTCGGGTGGAATGGGCCATTTTCGTTTTCTTTGTTGCGCGTGTATTGATGGAGATCGACCAATTTATGGACGCTAAAATAGCTGAGAAAAAAGCAACAAAGCAAAGTTTGCTTCATGGATCGCCCTCCAAAATTTTCCCATCACCACCCGAAAAAAGGGAAACTGCCAAGAGTTCATCAGCTAATCTCCTTAAGTGGTTCTCCAAATATTTCAGGTACATTCTGTCTCAAGCTGAAGATGAGGGAGCAAATAGAAATCAACTGTGCATGTTCTTCTCCACAGCAACAAATGATCCTGCAGCGGATTTTTTTGATGAAAAAAACACAGGGTGTTCGTTGACTCGCTTAGGGGTGTAAATTACAGACTTTGGTCTCAATTGGGGTGTTGAGGGCAGAACACGATATTTTTACTCATAGATGTATCGCTTAGCGTTGTGCATAAAGAATTGTCTTAAAACAAACCAAAGGTCGTCGTACTGTTCTGAATACAAAATTCGATTTCAACATCTTTAGGACCATGGAATCACGTTCGCTCATATTTGTTTATCTGTTCTGGTACAGTCTTCTTAAGGAGTCAAATAAAGTCATAACCATGCCCAAATTGGACATCTTCAGGGATTTTCCACCGACTATCCCCGTCGCATTCAAATAGAGGTCGTTATTTCCTCGTTTAAAAGTAAAACAGATATGTACATGTCAATGTTTCATCAAGGGGGAAAGGAAATCTTGGGTGCTTACTATTTACACGCACCATCTGGTCTAAATTCTGGTTCACAAACACTTTCATAATGGATTAAATTTGTCCTCGTGAGAGAAAGACCCGTTGCAAAGTCTATCGAAATCAGCTGGAGATACTAAAAAGAGCAGAAAAATTTCAAAGACAATATTTTCTGGAGATTCCAAAACGAAATGGCTTCAACCATTTGATTTGCCAACCAATTTTTTTGGTTTTCACAAATAACAGTACGTTGTAACCTTAACTTAAGAGGCGACTCTGTCTACATCCGGGAATTCAACCGCGTCCCCAAGGCTTTTGGCCCCTAAGAAAATGGAAGGGCAGGCAAAAGGTATCCCATGAAGCAACTGAGGTGTATTGCTTCAGTTTTTACAAAGTGCAATCCGTTGTTTTCGGAAGTTGGGGAATTCCGTGTGATGTGACCTAGAAATAAACCATACTGTTACATCTTAGTCATAGAGCGCATTAAATTAAACCAGCCAGGGATACAATAAGTATGTTACCTACTTGTGTTCTGGCCCCCTCGGTCAGTTATTCCTTTATTGGGAGGTATTCAAGAAGACAATACTCCGTATTTTTGCCTCGTTTTGAATTTTTAAATGGGAGGCTATCTCCACAGTGCAAAGCTTTATAATTTAGAGCTTTTTGTTTAGCATACTACCCGAGTTCGTCAGTCTATAGCTTATATTGGATTATGCGGACGTTTGCAAACACAGACTTCCGCAGAAAACGAAATCTAAAATAGGCCGAAAGTCGGACATTTTGGTCGTTGTTTCGGTTGACCGGCTCCTGGCGACTGTTCCACTGATAAAGCTACACAAGAAAATCACTGTGTAGAGCTTAATTTCATTGTACTGGGTTCTAATTTTTACATTTACATTATCTATTCGTAGCGATCTTTGGAACAGGCTTGACTTCGTCATTGTCGTTACCTACGTGGTAACCTTTATTCTGCGCATGTTCACATGGGCGACATCCGTTGCAGTTGCTAACAACAGGCCTTTAGCCGTAGCTGGATGCCTTTATGGCTTTATCACTATGTTCCTTGCCCTACGAACCTTTGGTCACGTGATGGAATGTACGAGAGGAATGGGCCCCACACAAATTGCCTTGTTCTTTATTATTTGGGATGTGCTGGTAATATTTTGGCAGTTCGTGGCGACAATAGTGGCGTTTTCCTTGGTCATTACTAAGATCTTTGTATCTGAGAAATACTGTCTGTCAAATGGGAAAACTCATGGTTCTCTGTAAGTACCATAAATCATTAGTATCACGCATTTTATAAATCGTCTCCCCTCAAAAGAAGTATTCTGGAAATGAATCGAAACAATTTGTGTAGTGAGTCTAACCCGCGAACAAGCTCTCTATTTGGAGGATATCGCACGAAGTCAACGCGAGGTGTACGTGAAATAAGACGTGAAAGCGAGGGGCAGAGAAATAAAAGATCCCCCCCCCCCCGCGGCTTTGCTGCTCGCTTGAGCGTCCTCTTGCGGCTTGCTTTGCTCGCCACTTGAAATGGAAGTTTACCTACAGGCTATCATAAGCTTTGTATGAATTGTTTTATAGACATAGGACCTGGAAGAGGTGCGCTTAAACGAACCCATGCGTCATAGTTTCTGCATTTTGAAACATTTAGCCTAACTTTTTCAAATTTGTTGATTTTAATACTTGTTAATCTCCTCCATTCCAAAGCGTTACATTATCAAATCGGCAACAAATTTTCATCGTTCAGTTACCAAATAGAGCACTGTGAGATCCAATCGAGCGTATACAGCAGTTGTATTCTAGACTACTATAAACAGTAGCCCTGGAAAAGTAAATCTCTGAGTTGTTTGAAACATTTTTTTAAAGAGCCCATTCTTGTCAGCTATGAATTTTTTTCTTATTTAGTTTGCAGGAATAAT